TTCATGTGCATGAAGGGGCTTCCTAAAGTCTATGGACAAATGGAATGAAAAGATAATGGAATTTTCCCACAAACTTTTTCAAGACCCCTCATATATGTGTGAACTTATTTAAAAGATAGTACATGCTATTCGATGAATCTTTAAATTTGTGTTTTATGACTGTGGTCATATGACTTAGATTTAGGGAAATGGTAGAAATTATTTCTTTATATATAAGGGTGAGGAAAAGTTATCCACACTCCAGTTATATTAAAAGGCTCATCCATGTCCATGACTGTTGACAACATCGAGCGAGCAAGTAAAATGATTGTGTCGAATAGATGAGTGGCAGTGGATTATGTGGCAAATCATTTGCAAATCAGCCATAGCTCTGCCTATGAAATAATCCACAACACACTTGGGTTTCGAAAAGTTTCTGTGAGGTGGGTACCAAAATAACTCACAGATAAGTAGAAGCATAAATGTTGTTGCTGTTATTAGGTGCCATCAAGTTGGTACTGAACCGTAGCGACTTTATGCACAGCAGAACGAAACACTGCCTGATCCTGGGCCAGCCTCACTACTGTTGCCACGCTTGAGTCCATCGATGCTGCCACTTAGCAATCCATCTCGTTGGGGGTCTTCCTCTTTTTCTTTGATCCTCCACCTTACCAAACATGATATCCTTCTCCAGTGACTGGTCCCTCCTGACAATATGTCTGAAGTATAAATAGAAGCATATATAGAAGTGTTTTAACATCTGCAAACAAAATTTGGACCAATACTTGAAAGAAGGCAGAAGTTTCTTTTAAAAAAAAATCAATACTGGTGATGAGACATTGATTCATCACTATGAGCTTGAGAGTACATGGCAGAGTATGGAAGAAAACATCCTCAGTAGCCAACCAAGAAAACGTTCCAGAGTCAACCATCAACTGGAAAATTGATGCTTACAGTTTTCTAAGACTCTCAAGAGTCAGTACGGGAACACTATTAGGAAAAGTTCTTCAGTCTGAACTTGCATATTAGCAATTGATGGTCTGTCCCACAGTCTGCTCTTACCCTTATTTTGGCTGATAATATGGAGCTTTCCCAAAGGAGCTCTGGTAGCATAGTGGTTACTAATCGGGCTGCTAACCTCAAGGTCAGCAGTTCGAAACTACCAGCTGTTCCGTGGGAGAAAGATGAGGCTTTCTGCTCCCGTAAAGATTTACAGCCTTCGAAACCCTGTACAGGGTTGCTGTGATTCGGAATTGACTCCATGGCACATCACCACCACCACCACCACCACCACCATGGAGCTTTCCCACCATCTCTTTTCACAGATGTAGTCAATTTGATTTATGGATATTCCATTTGATCCATGTATGTAGTCATTTTTAAGTTGTTTTAAAAAGGTATTTACAATGAATAAGTAATTGATCTTGCAGAATTCTGTTATGCGATCTCCAGTATTGTTTCTATCACCAAGGCCATATTTTCCAACTCCTGATCCTTCCTCTTTGTTTCCAACCTTTGCATTCTAATAGCCAGTGATTATCAATACATATTGATAGCATGTTTGATCAGTTTCAGACTGAAGAAGTTAATTCTTCAATTTCATCATCACTGGCTTCAGTGGTTGGTGCATGAATTTGGATAATAGTGGTATTAACTGGTCTTGTGGGTGTATGGATATTATCCTATCACAGATAGCATTGTACTTCAAGACAGACCTTGATATGTTCTTTTTGATGATGAATGCAACACCATTCCTCTTCAGTTTGTTATTTTGGCATAGTAAACCATGTGATTGTCAGATTAAAAATCGCCAATACTAGTCCATTTCAGTTCACTAAGGCCTAGAATATTGATGTTTATATGTTCCATTTCATTTTGGATCATTTCCAGTTTTCCTAGATTCATACTTTACACATTCCATGCCCTGATTGTTAATGGATGTTTACAGCTTTGTCTCTTCATTTTGAATTGTGTTACATTAGCATACGAAGGTCCCAAAGTCTTTAGTTCATTCTCACCCTCATGGTCAACTCTACTTTGAGGAGGCAGCTCTTCCCCAGTTGTATTTTGAGTGTCTTCCAGCCTGAGGGGCTCATCTTCTGGCACTGTATCTGACAGTATTCTTGTGCTCTTTGTCATGTTTCAATATTCAGTATTCTGGTGCTATCAGACAGTGTTCCACTGCTACTCATAAGGTTTTCAGTGACTAAATATTCTAAAGTAGCTCGTCTCCCCTTCTTAGTCTGTCTTCTTCTAGAGGCACGTCTGAAACATGTCTACCAGGGTTACCCTGTTGGTATTTAAAATACTTGTGGCATAGCTTCCAGAATCACAGCAACATACAAGCTACCACAATTCACAAACTGACAGACAAGTGATTGATCACCAGTGTTATATATAGGGTTGCTGTGTGTCAGTACCGACTCGATGACACCTACAACAGCAATCAGAAAGACGGTTTAATTAACAGCACTAGTCACAGTGAGATGCTCACTGAAGACCTGAAGTCTAAACTTCAGATTAAACGCTGTCAAGGATGTTGTGATCTTGCATAACAATGCATGTCCACACACCTCTGCCCACACTTGACACTGCAAAAACTTCATTTTGAGGTGTTAAGCATCCACCCTGTAGTCCTGATCTTGCTCTGTCAGACTTTCACCTACTTGGTCCTCTGAAAGCAGCCCTTTGAGCAAAAGAGTCACCTTTGATGAAGTGAAGACAGTGGTACATTTGTGACTTGCAGCACAGACTAAAACTTTTTTTTTTTTTTTAAATAAGGGAATACTAAAGCTTGTTGACAGATGGACAAAATGTGTTGGAAAACAAGGCTAAATAAGTTGAATATGATATATTTGTCTTTTCTCAAAGTTGATTAAAATAACTCTATAGCCAGAGTGTAGATAATTTTTGACTCATCCTTGTATTTTCTCCCAGTAGAATCATTCATTACTTATATTTTAAAATAAAAATTTCAGGGGTATAATTTAATTTTCCAGGGGTTTAGGTTCATGTTTTCCTTCCTACTGCTCCAAGGTAAGTTTAGTTTGCTTTTTAAATAAACTAGGTAACTACCAGAATTGGAATCTCCAAACTTGGTGAAGTTCTGATAATCTGGTAGCCAGTCTATTTGCCATAGAATTGTGAGTACTAACCTGTTCTCAAAGTGATGATGAGATATACTTTGAAAATTAAGCGTTAAGAGGTTTTAAAATATTGACTCAGACATATTTAACTTTTATACTTAATATTAATTATCATATGGAGACTGTACTCTTTAGTAATCCCAGAGTTTAATAGCCAGTAAATATAGTTGAATGATGGAGCACTTTGCACATAGGTAGTTTTTCATATATTTGAGGAAACTCCAGGAGCTCTGGTAGCATAGTGGTTATGAGTCGGGCTTCTAACCTCAAGTTCATCAGTTCAAAACTACCATACATTCAGGGAGAGAAGGATGAGGCTTTGCCTCAGAAACCTTATACAGGGTTGCTATGAGTCAGAACCGACTCCACGGCACACTACAAAAGCACATTCATCAATAAGCACTGAAGATCAATTTCTTGTCAGTTTACTTGTGGCACAGACCTAGGAAGTAGTGGCAGAAGACCACCTTCCATGTGTATATTGTTTCTGGCGGATATTTTTATTTTAAGGACTGGTTGCTTGTTGCTATTTACTCTACCTGTGCCTTTTGATTTTCCATCATGGTGCTTAAATACCCTAAGAGCAATGGTTCACAAATCTGACTGATCATTTCCTCAGCAAAATCCATATGGAGCGTTCTTAGAGACTGAACACAGTAGTTACAGACACAACAGGCTTTGCCTTAGCTGTTCAGGAGTTTATCATCTAGTGGAGAAGACAGACACTAAACTTAATTTATCAATAATTGATTGAGATTAGATTAAGTGTTTTGAGGGAGAAATATTTTGAATAATAGTGGTATCGAGAGGCTAAGCAAAATACAAAATTACATTTCATATAGAAAAGGAGTCCATGTTAGATATATGGACAATCATATGGACGAAGGTTCAAAATGGCACGATTCCATGTTGACCCAGAACCTGAACTAATTTGAGCTGAATTTAAAAAGAAAAGTCCCAAGCAATCTTGTGATACACTTTGGATCTTCTTTAAGGAATCCAACTCTAAGGAATAAGGTACCCTGGTAACATAGTGGTTACATGTTGGGCTGCTAACCACAAGGTCAGCAGTTAGAATTTACCAGCTGTTCTGCGGGAGAAAGATGAGGCTTTCTGCTCCTGTAAAGATTTAATGCCTTGGAAATGCTATACAGGGTCGCTATGACTTGTAACCTACTCAGTGGCACACTCCCACCATCACTGTTACGGAATGACGACCTGGTAATGGAGCTGTAGGGTAAGCACTGGACTGCTAACTGCTAGTTCATCGCAGCTGCTCCTTGGAAACCCTCTAACGGGTCCCAATGAATCAGAACAGATTCAATGGCACACAACAACAGCTCTAAGGAGTATTTTGTATAACTGCTTGTTTGCTTCCTAATGCAGAGAAAAGCTAGAAGAATTGGTCAAAATCTTCCTCACTCTAGATCTATTGAATCAGAATCTCTAGGGTTGGGTCATATACATCTTTACTCCCAAGTCAGTGCTGCTGACCCATCAGATACCAGAACTACCCTAGAATTAGCCTAAGAATTGATTTTTTGGCAGCTCAGTTTGAACAAGGGCGTGGATTTAACTGACCTAACAGCCAAATGGTAGTGGGTGTTTGCTTATTAGCACTTACTTTGTGACTTAGTTTAAAATGCAGAAGTTGACAATGCCTAGACTTGTTTTCAAAGAGTAACTGCACTTTTGGATTGTCAACAGTGGTTGCCCAGTTTAAAAGTGCATGTTAAAGTTTTCTTTTTTTTTCTCCCTCAGGAACTAAACAGCTTAAGCATATTTTATTAAAAGATGTGGACACAATTTTTGAATGTAAATTATGCCGCAGTCTCTTCAGAGGATTACCAAATTTAATTACCCACAAAAAATTCTACTGCCCACCAAGTCTCCAGATGGATGACAGTAAGTTTTATTTGTATATTTAGTCATGTATGTTGCAGTTGAGTATTCTTGTACTACAGCTAAATGTTTACATTAAAATGGTATCAATATCTGGTTACAGGTGAGTTAATGGTTAAGAATAAAATTAAACGCTTGACTTAGTGTTACATTCAGTTTCTTATAGAGGTACTTTCATATCAGTGTTTTTCCTTTTAGATTTTCCTAAGGTCATATATAATGTTAGACTTAGGAGTGTATTTATGTGTATTATAATATTAGATATTGTTTTTGACTGTTATACAAGCCATGCAGTTTATATTCAGGGTGTTTGTAAGTAAAAAAAATACTAATGCTGTCTTGAAGAGGGATAGTATTTGTCCTCTTTTATAACAACTTGTTATCAGATAAGGGTGAAAGATTTTTAGAGTATGAGGGAGACTATTAAGTCATCTTTTTGAGTTTTCCTAGTATTTTCTGAGTCTTTTTTGAAGATCAATTTTGATCTTAGTGAAATTTCTTTAGACTAGTCTTATATCAGAAGTTAATTTGTGTCACAGGCTAACTTGAGATCCAAAATAGCTTTATGTGATGAAGGTAGGTGGTAGGTCAGTAAACTCTTTGTTGACTCAAAGGTGTGCTCAGTTAAGTATGTTTTATGTATATGTTTACATTAGCAGTATATTTATCTTCTTGTTTTAGATATTTAACATGAATTGGTTTATATATTTTAATAACTAGTAGGTTGCTTACATTATTTCCTGCCCAGGATTATGACTCTTTGTGGACTTAGAAAACAGAGAGCACTGTGTCAGTTTGATACCTTAGTTGCATTGTGGATTTTGTACATTTTTCAACTTAACCTTCTTGTTATGGGGAGGAGAAATGGACTCCAAGTATCTGAAATACTTCTTTAATTATATGTGTGAAGATGGTTTAACATATATTATAGATTATAGTTGAAACAAAAGAAATCATGTTTTTCTGGAAGCTTTTTCTACTGTTGGTTTAGTTAATCTTGCTACATACTTGGTTTTATCATTGAGTTTTAAGTTTAAAGAGAATCTATAGAATTCAGTTTTAGATACAGTATTTTAGAAAATTAGTTTATTTTCTGATAGTTATTCCTTGTTATCTTTTATTTATGGAGTTGATATATAAAGGAAAATAGATAAATGGGATTGCTGGATTATGTACTTTTCTTAGCTGTACTCATTCTAGAAATACTTCTGTGAAAGTGTTGTGCTTCTTATAGATACTGCCTAATCCGTTTTGGCAAAAGAAAGGTTAGTAGATATAAGAACTGTAATGATTCAATTTTTGACTTTCAAGTAGATAGCAGATTTGATGCTGTCTTTATAGTAGATTTCAGAGTTGTATGTGGAAACATAAATGATGTTAGCCAACTATGCTATAATAGGAATATTTGTCTACAGAGGGTTCAACTGTTGCCTAGATAAATAAAACTGTAGTTTTATTTTATGGAATCTATCTGTTTATACTTGTATCATTTGTTTTAATAGAATATGTCATGTCCTAATAAGAATGTGATAGCTTATGTCTGTAAAGATAACAGCCTTGGAAATCTCCTGTGCCCTGTAGGGTTGCTATGAGCTAGAGTGGACTTGACAGCATGGGTTTGGATTTTGGTTTAATACAAGCATACCTCGGAGATATTGCAGGTTCAGTTCCAGGCCACGACAACAAAGAAAATACCACAATAAAGTGAATATTGGAATAAAACAAGTCTCGAGAATATTTTTGGTTTCTCAGTTTATGTAAAAGCTATGTTAATGCTATACTGTAGTCTATTAAGAATGTATTAGCATTATGAAAAAGTCTGAAATATTTTGAGAGTGACCAAAGTGCCACACAAAGACAGGAAGTGAGCACACGCATGCTACAGGAAAATGGCACTGATAGATTTGCTCAATGCAGCATTGCCACCAACCTTCAATTTGTAAAAAACTAATTATCTGCCAAGTGCAGTGGAGCAGAGCCCAATAAAATGAGGTATGCTTGTACTGTTTTTGTCTTAATTAAATACTAAAATAATAATAATAATAATATTGCTCTTACAAAAATAAATTTGAATCCATAATAAAGTTTAAAGTAGAGGTTTATAGTACATTTTAAATTATTAGTGGATTGGCACAGGTTAATTATTTCAGATTAAAGTGTTGTTTCTGTCTCAACAGACCTTCCTGATGTAAATGACAAACAAAGCCAAGCCATAAACGATCTCCTAGAAGCCATATATCCAAGTGTGGACAAGCGAGAATATATTATTAAACTAGAGCCCATAGAAACGAATCAAAATGCAGTGTTTCAGTATATTTCAAGGACTGATAATCCCACTGAAGTCACAGAGTCAAGCAGTACTCCTGAACAAATGGAGGTTCAAGTACAGGAAAGTAACACTGAACAGTCTAAAACAGCCCCGGTTCCAGATGCTGAGGTGGAAACTATAGAGCCCCCTCCTGTTGAGATTGTTGAAGATGAAGTCTCACCTCCTTCTGATGAACAAACTCAGGAATCACCAGCTGACTTGGAAACTTCTGATAATTCGGATTTTGGTCACCAGTTGATATGTTGTCTTTGTAGAAAAGAATTCAATTCCAGACGAGGGGTTCGTCGTCACATTCGTAAAGTACACAAGAAAAAGATGGAAGAACTAAAAAAGTACATTGAAACACGAAAAAATCCAAACCAGTCCTCTAAAGGGCGTAGTAAGAATGTTCTAGTTCCATTAAGTAGGAGTTGTCCAGTGTGCTGTAAATCATTCGCTACAAAAGCCAATGTGAGGCGGCATTTTGATGAAGTTCATAGAGGACTAAGGAGGGATTCAATTACTCCCGATATAGCGACAAAGCCTGGGCAACCTTTGTTCTTGGATTCTGTTTCTCCTAAAAAGTCTTTTAAGACTCGAAAACAGAAGTCATCTTCAAAGGCTGAATACAATTTAACTGCATGCAAATGCCTCCTTTGCAAGAGGAAATATAGTTCCCAAATAATGCTTAAAAGACATATGCAAATTGTACACAAGATAACTCTTTCTGCAACAAACTCTAAAAGAGAGAAAGGCCCTAATAATACTGCCAACAGTACAGAAATAAAAGTTAAAGTTGAACCAACAGATTCTGTAGAATCTTCACCCCCTTCTATTACCCATTCTCCGCAGAATGAATTAAAGGGAACAAATCATTCAAATGAAAAAAAGAGCACACCGGCAGCCCAGAAAAATAAAGTAAAACAAGACTCGGAAAGCCCTAAATCAGCAAGTCCGTCTGCTGCAGGTGGCCAGCAAAAAACCAGGAAACCAAAACTTTCCGCTGGCTTTGACTTTAAGCAACTTTACTGTAAACTCTGTAAACGTCAGTTTACTTCCAAGCAGAACTTGACTAAACACATTGAGTTGCACACAGATGGAAACAACATTTATGTTAAGTTCTACAAGTGTCCTCTTTGCACTTACGAAACTCGGCGTAAGCGGGATGTGATACGACATATAACTGTGGTTCATAAAAAGTCTTCCCGCTACCTTGGGAAAATCACAGCCAGTTTAGAGATCAGAGCTATAAAAAAACCCATTGATTTTGTTCTAAATAAAGTGGCAAAAAGAGGCCCTCCAAGGGACGAAGCAAAACATAGTGATTCCAAACATGATGGCACTTCTAACTCTCCTAGTAAAAAGTATGAAGTTGCTGATGTCGGTATCGAAGTCAAAGTCACCAAAAACTTTTCTCTTCACAGATGCAATAAATGTGGAAAGGCATTTGCCAAAAAGACTTACCTTGAACATCATAAGAAAACTCATAAGGCAAATGCTTCCAATTCACCTGAAGGAAACAAAACCAAAGGCCGAAGTACAAGATCTAAGGCTCTTGTCTGGTGAGGAACAGTTACAGAGTTTTGCTTTCCCCCCCCATCGAACTTTAAAAAAAAAAAAAAATCATTTGACCATAATTGATAGCTGGTTCCATTTTAACCCATGTTTGCTTCCATATACCTATGGCAGTGGGAACTGCAAGAGTGAGGTGTGTGTTGCATTTACCTCTTCAGTGACCTTTTAGTCCAGTGGCTTGGGAACAAAAGTTAACTTCAGAACTTATCTTCCACAGGACAATGCGATAGAATCTAGGGAGATGGCAGAGGGTTAGTGCTTTCCTCATTATTGTAAAATAGACAGATTGATATTGGCTTTGTTTACAATAGAAGTCTTTTGTTTAACTAATTTTGCACAGGTTTAATTTGATTCAGCAACCTAGTCTACTAATGAATGCATTGTAGGAAAGTTAAATATATTAGAATGAATCTGTGAAGGCGATAATTAGAGGAGAAATCTTTTGAGGCACTGTAATTATTGTAAAAATTAATCTGTGATGGCTAAATAAAGTGCTGCGCTCAGAAACAAACAAAAATCCCCAAATTGAATTTAGAATGATGATTAGCATTATTTACCTTTAATATAGCACTTCTAGGCAAAGGGGAAAACTTGGTAAACAGAAGTTGGGATCGTTTTTTTTTTTCTCCTTGAGAGTGTGTGTCAGTTACTGCTTTTTTCTCTTTTTTTTGTTTTGATATATGAAAAAAAAACTTATTTAGGTCCCATATCCTCTTATTTTGTCCTCTTTTGGGTTTAAATAAACGTTTTGGTGACCATTTCAGCCTAGCTAATATTATGAAGTAGGACTTTTCTGGTTGTTGTTGAAAGAATAGTATAATCCTTGCAGGGAAGAAAGAAAAAAAAAATTTTAGAAGGTTTTGGAACAAATGTAGATTTAAAAAATGCAATATGAAATAAGGAATAGACTCCTTACGCTTGTTTTTGCAATTTTATGTGTATTGTTTTTAAAGTTGACCTTCAATACCTATCTCTTGTATTAAGACATGTAGTGTATCTAAATGGGCATTGAATTAGTTTTGGATTCAGGCGCTAAAGAGAATACTTAGTGTGAGTGCTGATTAGGTAAAATGTTGTGGTTTGATAATCAGACACTTTTTATTTGTGTGGGAAACTTGAGGTGAAACCATCCTTTAGAACTCGTTTATTATTGTATAATTTAAAAAATAAGGTTTTATTGGTAAACTCAAAAGTGTTCATTTATTCCTATTTCTCCTCAGATAACTTCAAGTGATGTACGAAAAGGTTTGGAGTTCATTTTTGTGGAAAGACTTTAAATTGGTGTTAGAACCACTAAACGTCTTCAAATGGTACTTTAAGGAAAAAACAGAGAATACCATTTTCATAAATAGTCCACTATAACTGCTGTTTCTGACCAAATTAGTAATCATCTGACCACTGGCCTCTCAGGCCTTCGCTGCCTCGTCCAGCACTTTCAAGTCACTATGACGTTACACATTGTCACCACAGTCCTTTAGCTAACTACCCTTGACCTGTGCATGTGGCCTGCCGAGTCTAACAAAAAATTTGCCAATTTTGTTTTCCAAACAGTTTATTGATTAAAGCCATCAAGAGCCTGAAGAAAAATATCACCTCTGGTGATTTTCTGTCATAGGGAATTTAGCTTTGTTCCACTGTATTTGGCAGATTTTTCATCTGGAGTGTACAGATATATATGTATATATATATATTTTCTAGTTAGTATATGATAAGAGCAAAAGGCAAACTAGTCTCAACAAATTATGAATATTTAGCTCACTAAATATTTGTAATTATTTTCACATCATTTATTCCTAACTTATTCTCCAGCATTTAAATGTTTGAAAGTTTCATTCTAGAAAAGATACTACAAGAATGTACCAGTTCATTTTCCTACGTGGATCATTATAATTTTCATTTGTTAACATCGGAGGTTTTTGTGAAAATTAAACATTCCCCCGTTTTTCTTTAAATTTTATACACAAGCACTTTAATGATAGATGCAACTTTAATTTTTCCAGTTACTTTTTTTTTTTTTTTAAGACCACACATTTGCTAATGTTATATGAAGGTAATAAGTAATTGCTGACATTTTATAGATGCAGACAATCCATGCACAACTACTACTTATGATACTAGTTTCTTTCTTTAAACGTTGCTAAAAAGATGGCGGTGGAAACACTGATTTTTTTTTTTTTTTCTCTCCCAAGAAAAATCTTAAATGACCACTTTAGCTGATAATTGATTCTTACTGTAAAACTTGGAGAATAATGAATTCTTGTCCATTTTTATAATCAAGATTTTAGGAAAAACAGAAGTACATCTATCTTTATGAAATTTGGGGCAGGTTTTTTGTGTATTAATATTTTGTACTTTTTAGGGAATATTTTATTTTTTAGTAATTTGTGTCAAATTATAATTTTAAAAGATACAACGAAAATTATACCATGGTTTTATATAGGTTCTTACCTGTACTTAAGGAGGGACTCTGTCCATACATATACTTTTGTATAAAATTTTAAACTGTTGAAAATCCACAAGGTCATAATAAAATGCTTCGATAGCTAGAAAAACATGTACCCTTCCTAGTGCTTTGCACTGAACTATACTGTGAAAGGAAACCGGAAGGACTGTAACTGTTGCTGGAAATGTTCTATATTGAATGTACATGCTCTTGTTGGAAAAATGTACTATATGTGATGGAAATAAACCAGACTCGAAGTTATTTCAGCTAAATGTGCTCAACAAAGGTGCATTGGTTGAAACTTCAGTGTTTTATTATCAAATTTAAACTTATTTGTTGACTATGAGCAGCTACACTTGAATTATATTGATAGTTTTATTTTTAAGAATTAGAGTAATTTCTCTTTAATTTAAAAGCAGATTTACTTTTCCACAGATGGAAAACTTGTACTTCTAGTAACTTTAATGACTAATAGCATAATATATTTAGGGAACTCAATGTCTAGGTGGGATTTCATTTATAAACCATCTTCATCCGTTGCACATTATTAAACCTGTATGTTTGACTTTTGCAAGGTGTTATCTTTTGTGCATTCCTACACACAAACATCCCAAAGAAATTTTCCAGTGGAAAGATAGGAAGATTTCTTAGACATTTGGGGGAGTTCTTTGCTGCATCCTCTCGTCTGTATGTCATCCTTTTCGTATCAGCTTTTCTAGTTAAATACTGTGGGAAAGAAAGGAAACTGGCCTACTGATGAAGGAGGGGAACCCAATAGCTGGAATTTGTGACTCCACTCACTGTTTTCCACAGCACTATTCAGAATGTTCCTCCTTATAATGACTCTCGGGCCACAGAACAGGAACTTAGGAGAAGAAAATGAGGGTCCCAGAGACTGTCAGAAGATTTCATCTGAGTGATAGAGAAAACAATAGGATTGTGCCACGAGTGCTTGAGTTAGAAGTGGTGAGAGAAATCATGACTATTTTGTCATCATAGTCAAAGTCAAGAACCACAGTAGACAGAGGCAGTGGCATTACACTTGGGCCAGTGTAGAAAGGTAACAAGTGATCAGAAGTGGTTTTTTCTTCCTTTCAGGTCTTCATCCTTTGGTTTTATTTTGGCTTTTGATATAGCTTGCTTACTCATCAGCTGTATAAGTCTGGATGGTATTAGTGAGAATTGGACAGTGTGAGATGCAGCTAACATTGGGTAGGTGTCCACTAGAACATTAACACATGCGCCTTGAATGCACAGCTGCTGTATTGGTTCATAACCTCCACTTTTTCTTCTTTCCTCCTCACAAAAAGAAAACTTTTGAAGAATGTACAAATTATCCATCCTTAACATTTAACTAAACATATAGACATTTAGCTTTGACTATATGAACAAAAGTTTTTTGTAGACTGATTGTTTTTATTGTTGAAAAGTACCTTCATAGTTTTTAGGAAAATGTGTTTGTTATATTACTTTCTAGTCAGCAAGGTGTTCTACTCAGTTCACTCTAAAGAGTCTATAGGTATATAGTAGTGGGGAGCTTTGTGAGTTTGCTATGACTTGAGGCTTTGGGAAAAAAGAGGAATTTCCCCATAGGTGTAATGGCATGGTGGGATGATGATGGAGGGTTAGAGTAAGTATCAGTTCCTGTTGCGACTTGCAGAAGGTCTAAGAGAGCGTAGTCATTGAAAATTACATGCTTTTAAAATGTTGGATATTTGGTAACCAGGTTTCTTGCAGCATAAGGCCAATGAAAGTAAAGCTTCTTAGTTTGGACTTGTAGAGTTACTTTTCTCATAGTTGATCCAAGCTGAGCTCTAATGTTGGCTGCACTGTTAGAATCCTGAACTATTAACTACAACTTTGGTGATTTAAACCCACCAGCTCTATACCAGATCTCTATGAGTTAGAACTGACTCAAGGGCACTTAATAATGAAGGAGTAAGGATCTGTTTTGTTTTCTAAAGTGCTAGGTACATGGTATGGTTAAGCACTGGATCACAAGGTCAGTTTGCATCATAAGGTCGGTGGTTCAAAACTCACCAGCTGCTCCTCAGAAACCCTATACAGGGTTGCTGTGAGTCGGAACTAACTTGATAGCATTTAACAACAGGTACATGGTAGAATGTAGAATAAAACAAGTTTCCCTTAACCTCCTCAGGGATTTAAGCATTCTGAATCCATTCTTTTATAATTTGTTTCTGCACCCTTTTCCTCTGGTTTCTGTTCCGAGCGTCTAGCTCTTCTCTTCCGTGTTTTCTCTTAGGATGAATTAATAGATCATTTGAGCCAAGAAAACTAAAAAACGTGCTTTGGGAGGATGAGTGAGTAGCAAGTGGAGCTCATTTTCTTCTGAGCCTTTACTGCTGCTCCTGGGATTTGATAAGTTTGTTACTTTCAAGCCTCTTTCTCTACATATTTTCTCACTACCACATGCGCAGAAGGGGTTCTTACTCATCACCCTGTGGGTGCATCGTGGGAAAGGAGCAGAGTTGGAATTTTTCGGTTTGTGTTGACATGGCAGAATTCCTTATTGTACAAAACGTGCTGAGACCTTCCTAATTTTGTACAATGCCCAGCACTCTGATGTGTACACAGGCATTTTAAGTGTTTCACAATGACACTGAAGCAAGTAGTTGTTTCCATCTGGGAAATGTGCTATCATTTACATTGTTAATTTAATCAATATCATTGGGTTTCATTTATTTTAGAAAATACCACCCAAACTAAGATGAGTTTGTGAAAACAAAGAAACTTTGTAGTAAGAGCTGGAGATATTTGTGGCATGCTTTACTGTATGTCAAGCACTAGGCTAACCCTCTGCAGTCATTGGGTCCTTACTCTGACCAGCAGATGTCCAAGCTGGTACTTGATTATATAGTCTCTTTTTGTAGAGCAGAAAAGTGAAGCGCAAGCAATTTCAGTGATTTACCCAAGTTCACATAGCTAGTAATTTAGAGTTGAGACTTGGCACTAGGTCTCACAACTAAACTCTTGTCCTTAATTGTTGTTGTTGTTAAGTGCTGTCGAGTCGGTTCCGACCCATAGCGACCCTGTACAGGGTTTCTGAGGGTGTAAATCTTTACGGGAGTAGAAAGCCTCATCTTTCTCCCGCGGAGTGGCTGGTAGTTTCGAACTGCTGACCTTAAGGTTCGCAGCCCTATTCGTAACCACTACGCTACCAGAGCTCCTTAATTAGTAAAGCCTTATTACATTTGCATATTTTGCCATTTATAAAACATGTTCATTATAGTTCCTCATTGGCAGTTTAGTGTAATAGTCTGGGACTAGATTGCTAGTAAGTAGTGACATTTTTGAGTTCACGAATCAAGTGGGATATTTCTTATTTCAGGTTGTTTGGGGAATAAAATGAAAAATGTGGCATGTTACAGTGTAAAATGTTTTTGTTATGAGTGGTTTACACAGTATTCAAATGTGGATGGCACTCTAGGATAAGCACTGGACTGCTAACCACAAGGTTGTCAGTTCAAACTCACAAGCCACTCCACTAGATAAAGATGAAACTTGGTCTGTAAAGATTTACAACACTGGAAACCCTATATTGGACTGCGATGAGTCGGAATCAACTCAATGGCAGTGGGTTTGGTTTTGGTTTATTAAAGTTAAGTTTAGATGGAATTTGTGCATTAAAAACTATTGCTACACGTTAAGTTTGAACTATTTTTATATTGGGACAATGAAGCAATGTTATTTGCTACCATTTCTAATCTGATACTCCATTCTTAAACAGTGCTGGAACACTCTGTTACTAAAAGATCGGTAGTTGAAATCTCACAGCACTCCATGGGAGAAAGATGAGGCAGTCTGATTCTGTAAAGATTTTTAGCCTCAGAAACCCTACAGGGGCAGTTCTACCCTGTATTATAATATAGGATTGTTACAAGTCAGAATCTCAAACAACTCTGCCTCAAGATTCTCTTCAGTATCTGTCTTATGACACAATAATTTGTTATTTTGGGCCATGTGCAAAATGTCTTCATGAAATGAGCAATATTGCAGAAATATCCTAAAACAAAAGTTGTAGCTATGCAGCAGTGCTGAAAAGAACATTCAGTTCTGGGAAGAATGGGCTCTTCTGGAGCGCGATGTAAGCAGTGTCAGGAGCTTCTTTGGTAAATGTGTCATGAAGAGATAAGACACGCTGCTCAAAAGTCTTGGCAGTGGTTTTCATTTGTGGCAGTACTCCACTGGACAGCCAGGGCCCAAGTTGTGTTAAATAATCTGTTGAGAGAGTTTACCACACGCTTGGCTTGTTCTTGATCTTGCTTTTGTACCAGTAGGGTGACATTTTTGTTGAGGGGCTGGCATAATTTTCATCACCATACAACCCTTGCCCCTAAGTTTGGATGAATGTTTTATCTTGAATTTCAGAGCTAATGCTGAGGTTTTGCAGCTTCTTGATGTTGCGGATTTCATATTGAGTGGCTCTGTAGCATGAACCCTGGACTGCTAATTACAAGGCCTGCAGTTCAAATCCACCAGCAACTCTACAGGAGAATGATGAGGCTTTCTGCTCCCAGAAGGATTTATAGTCTCAGAAGTACAATTTAGGGTCCACGTGAGTTGAACTTGACTATGACAGTGTTGCTTTTGTTTTGTTTTGTTTTAGCAGCAGGAGTATTGTTTCTCTGCTGCTATTGGCCCTTCTTAAGACTCTGCTTACACTTTTTCTTTAACCCGTTGCTTCACACTCTTACCTCAGTATAGTTGGCATGGCCCCATTACTTCTGCTGCCTGCCTGTCTTTCAGCCCCTTCCCTGCATGCATAGCTTGAGTTCAGACTGTCAGAAAAGGTATAAGTGGGTCAGTAAGGTACATTGCCTATTGGTCATTGGTGATTACGGTGGTGGAATCAAGTGGTGTAACACATACATGGTACAGGACTCAGTAGAAGGAATCTCTTGATGGGGGAGTAAGAGGGGCAGACAGCCCTGATGGCACAGTGGTTAAGTGCTTGGCTACTAACTGAGGGAGAAAGACTTGGCAATCTGTTTCCATGAAGCTTTGCAGCCTTGGGAATCCTATGGAGCAGTTATGCTCTGACCTTTAGGGTCGTTATGAGTTGGAATTGACAGTGGGTTATGAAGTCCTGGAATGTAGTCATCTTTCTATAAACAGATTTTTCTCCATTTTAAAAGACTGTTAGTCAGTGGGTTAAACTGTCGATGTTAGTGGAGTATCAATATTCCATTCCATATTGAGAAAACATGGGGAAGGGGTTTTGTGATCTGCGTCTGCAGTTCCTTTTCAAACTGCCTGGTGTCATTTTCATCTTTGTAGCTTCTGAACCAGCCTGAAGTTTTG